GTCGCGCTACGCGTCGTCCCGCTTTCGACAACTATTTCTTCTACGAGCCCTGGCAAAAAGTGCTCGGCCAAGTAACCTGAGAGCGTCCGGCGATGTAATCGTTCCCCGTATGTATCAGGTGGACTGTTTTCAGACGTTGCACCGTCGTGTTATATACAGTGAGACGCGCGAAAGTATTCGCAACGCCTTTTAAAAACGGATTGGGTTCTTTCTTCGCCGTTCGGCTGAGCGATCTGAATTTTTTTAGAGACGACGGAGAGACTTGATCGGAGGGGACAGTGCTTAGAACGATTGCAATTGGTTGGAAGAGTTTATAGAAGTTGTTGGAAAGGTGAACGAGATCTTTTGTGTCTTCTGTTTCTCGAAACAGATTTTATTTTGTGAATAATGGAAAAAGTGCACGGCGAGATGTAACGCTAATTTGTGAAAGAACTCAATTATTCTGCAAAGTCGAAGATCATTTTTTGGCAATTTCATCATTTCTATACGATTGCAGAGAATGCATTCTTTTATATTATTTTGCTTCGCCGTTATTTTCGTATGCAATATTATTCTTCGTTCTTAATTAACGCTCGAATTATTTGCTTGGTAATCACATTCGCAACTTTAATTGAAAGTATTTTTGTCCAGATGTAGTATTATAGGCAGATAAGCTTATCGACTGGTGATAGAAATAACGCTAATTTGTGAAAGAACTCGATTATTCTGCAAAGTCGAGGACCATTTCTTGGCAATCTCGTGCGATTAAATAATGATAATCATGCTGCTTTAGTTGCACATCATTTCTACACGATAGCAGAGAATGCATTCTTTTATATTATTTTGCTTCGCCGTTATTTTTGTACGCAACATTATTTCTCGTTTTTAATCAACGCTCAGATTATTTGCTCGGCGATCATGTTCGCGGCTTCGATCGAACATATTTTTGTTCAGAGGTAATATTACGCGCAGATAAGCTTTATCGACTTGCGATAGAAATAATTGTCGATTCGTGGAACGGTATAAATAAAATGTTCTCTCTTGGCCGAGTATTAAAGAAACGTGTAACTCAAAAGAAAAGGAGAAAGTTGTTTACGATACCACTTAAGAAAATATACTATAAGTGGCGTCATAAATAATGAATGGAGATAACGAGGCGGACTTGCGGGACATCTTCGAAGTCAATTTGTAAATATTTACAAAATGACTGAATTCGAAACTTTCTTTTCGACTTCGCGAACGCGTCGACGGTGAAACTCCGATGGTCCTCGTCTCTTTCGTCTCGCGGGGCGATCTGACAATTTGCGGAAACGTTTTTAATCCCCGTTTATTATTGGGAACATGGAAGGCCGCTCGTTTCGGAAACGGGTAGCCGTGTACGTACGTTGAAATGCAACGTAAACCGTTCAACAGTTTATCGAAATCTCGAATCGGTATGCATTATGATTCATAAAAGAACTGGTTCCCGGGGTATGCAACTTCTCGTTTCACAACTTTTGCGCCGGCCGTCTCTGTTCCGCTCGCGCCAAAAAACAAAAACGCGGGAATGAGGAAGTGCTTGTTAAAAACTCTGTTATCTCGGAGGGCTCATTTGCCTCCGCATGCGTGTAGCGATGATGCCCGTATACAAAAAACGCAACGCGCTCCTGGCGCGTACTCGGACGAGAATTGATGAAAGAAAAATGAGCGTCCATTGGAAATGAAATGTAAACGAGGTCGGTACTGTTGCACAATCTTCATCGATCGCGTTCGTAAATTTTTTTTCCACGGTGTATAAATAAAATGGTGCGCGCGGGACGAATGAAGCCTCGTTAAAAGAAACGCGGCACCGATCATTTAGAAGAAAAAGCGTGCTTAATATATTTTAATGCGACGATAAAGAAAGAGAGAGAGTTTCTTATTTATTGTTTTCTCGTACTAAAATACTCATTCACCTTCGATCCGCCAATTAATTAACACCGTCGATCGAGATTATCGTTCCAGAAACGTCGGAACGACCTTTTTATTTCACATAGAGAACGTTCGATTCATTATGCAACACGCTTAGGTATCGTTCTTGGGAAAATTCATTGGAACAGATTTTATGCGCGCAGATTTTTATGATTCGAGTATCAGCAAATAACGGATGGATATTTTTTTCTTCTGTCGCAAGAGTGGAATAATGAGCAGAAGTCGAATGGCGTATTCTTCCTATCTACGTTTTCCTTTTTTTAGCAACATTTCCTAATTCGTTGTAATTAAAAATATGTAAAGTTAGTTAAAAATTGCGAAGAGAGAAAGTTAGTTAGAAAATAGTTAAAATGGCGTGACTGTTCAGTTATTTCTGTAACTGAGTTTGCTACTACTAGTTGCCATGATCTACTAAATCAAGTACGTATTATAATATAATACTATAATATACTAATATTATACTATTAATATATAATACTATAATATAATAATATTTGAATAAAATCTGAGAAATCTGAATTAGCAATTGTTCAATACTTTTCAAAAATTGATGACCTAAAACCAAGGGGATTCTATGTATTTAGGAGATTTTTTAAGAGCAACAGCCAGAGTCCGATCACAAACCAACAAATAACCCTGGATAACACAATAATTTCTATTCGAAATATTATTCGAAAGAAGATTTCTGAACGCCATTACGACGCAACAGGGTTGTCAAAAAATGAACAGATTTCCTTCTAAACCTCCTAAACCTTGAAAAATCCGTAATATCGCTGAACGTTTGGGTGAGTGAAAGGTAGAAAAAATATATTCCGATACGAAATATGTTCTCATATATTTCACTTTAATAGGGTATCAAAGAGCACTACGTAATGCAGAACAATAATAATAATAATAATGATAATAATGATAATAATAATAATAATAATAATAATAATAATAATAATAATAATAATAAT